CCATTCTCTACAGTACCCTATATTCCACCAAAAAGCCACATTCAGAAGCATCCAACCACTCAAAAAAAAATCAAAATCTTTTCAAAATAATACAACTTATCATAAATAGCCTTGATTCTCAAAACATATATTTTCAATTTACAGTTGTTCCCTCCTCAACCAGTTATCCATTTCCGCTATGTGCATCTCCATTCAAAGGAAAAATTGCAGTAGTTGTTGAGATGAAAAAAGATGACGCCGAAATTCAGGTATATTACAAACTCAATACACTAAAATCAATCGTTTTCAGCTAGCCGCGGCGTTTGTCAAGAATTATTTCTACAACTCTCAAAACTACAACTTTGCCGATGTTACGCAGGCTATCAATGTTCCATACGGTAGCACTGATCAATATGGAACAAATATATTGAATTTCGGTGATGCTAAGTAAGTCGGATCCAAGAGAATTTTTTAAAAAATTAATTCATTCAGAAGCTTGGCAAATCTGCAGAAAAATCTCGATGATCTTTACAACAACTCTACTTTGACAAGCATGCCAGCAGTTGCAGAGTAATACTACTTCCACGTAACCTAGATGACTACTAATAATAATATTTTCAGCGGGCTTAATTGGATTGCAAACAACATTGATTCTCCAGCAGCTGGCTCAAAAGCGATTGTTATTGTTGTTGGTTATAAGTGAGTTAAGCAAAAAAAAAAACCACCAATGAAGTATACATTTCCAGCCCCGACGTTAATGAAGAAGCTACTTACTTTGCTAAAATGCCCTTGACAACAGCAGGCTACCAGTTTTTGTCTGTATCCGTTGGATCGGGAAATTTCGAGAGCATAGCTGATAAAAAAGAATGGTTCTTCCAAGTGGATCAGTCGAACGGACAGACAATCGCTAACCAGATCTCTTATATTCTTTGTAATATGTCTTTGTAATAACTATCACCTTTCATCTTCCCCCCCCCCCCCCATGATATCACACTGCTGTGCAATTTTGACCGATTTCTTTCAACTATGAACTATTTTCTCTTGATTCTTCGTTTTCACAATTCAAACACGTCAACAAGCGCCTTCCAATGCGCCCTCTCTGCTTCTCCCTCATGCGTGTCTCCGTATCCATGGTAACGAAAGCGCGCGCGTATTTGTCGTCCTCGTCGGTGACCACAATACATGTTATTCATTGCGATTTGTATTCAAAAAGAAGGAAGGTAGTCGAAAAATAAAAATGGACGCCCATCAACCGCATCTTCTCGTCCTCGAACCGCTACCGGAAGAGATCCATCGGCCAGAGCAAGACCATCACCTTATCAATAGAGCGAGCTTGCAAAGATAGAAAAACTAACCCTGTGAAAACTACCGATTTTTTTACTACTTTCTACTTTTTAATTTTGATTAATAATGTACCCTTTTTTTCTTTTTAAAGGTGGGGGGACATGAAAAAATAATGTTCTCGATATTCCGTCTAAATATGTCCCTCGAGGAGTTGAACTTGTGAGGGCGATGATTGAGGGTGCGGCGCCGCTACCGACTGAGCCACGCGGGCAAAGAGAAAGCGCACGCCCGATTGCATACATAAAGGCGAGGACGACAGGTGTACGCAGAGTGACATTTAGCGTTGTACACCGTGACGGTAGAATGCATACTCTAGCTACAAAAAAACTACGAAAAATCTCCTGTCCCCCCACCTTTAATTCAAAAAAAATTACCCAGCGGGCCGGGCCGAGAAAATTCGTCTACCGGCCATGCCCGGCCCGGCGCTGCAACTATGTGAAAAATCGTATCGTTACCATTTTTCCTAGAATGATGGAAGAAATTACCCAGGCAAACTATTTAGGCTATCTGGCTTGGTGGCCTAATTTTTCCAACATGAATTTTCTAGGCCACGATTTTTTAGCCTAGAAATGATCTTATGTTCACCTGGTGTGTTTTTAGGTCATTTTAACATGGTGGCCTAACTTTCGCGTGTTGAGTTTTCTAGGCCACCATGTAAAAACGGCCTAGAAAACATACCAGATGAAAATCTGATCATTTCTTCGCCAAAAAAGTTCGTGGCCTAGAAAATTCATGTTGGAAAAATTAGGCCACCTGGTCAGATGGTCTTGAAAAAAAAGAGATACGATTTTTTTACAAGTAATTCCGGTGGTTAACAGCAATTTTTTGTCGATAATTTGTCGACAAATGCCCCCTTCGAGAAATTTATCGACAAAGAGAACGACAAATTTATCGACAATTTGTCAACAAAATTTTGTCGATAAATTACTTTCGACAAATTTACCGATAATTTGTCTACAATTTATCGACAAAATTTTATCGTTTTTTATCGACAAATTTATCGATAATTTGTCAGGTAAATTTGTCGACAACATCGGAAAATCTTTGTCGATAAGGCACACTGGGTAGCACTGATCAATATGTATCTTGAATTTTGGTACAAATATCTTGAATGTTGGTGATGCTAAGTAAGTTGGATTGAAGAGAACTGGATAAAACGCCTATATTCAGGAGCTTGACAGATCTGCAGAAAAACATCGATGATCCTCACAACAACTGTCAAAAACTGATGTTTCTTCTTTTTTCGTCAAATGTTTCCATTAAAAACCCCGGAAATCCATCATTTTCCCTGAACAATGGGCAAAAATGACGTCACTGCGCAGCAAACGCGCTCCACCGCCTCGCTATCGCCCGTGAAACGTCGGTCGCTTCAAATGCCGCTAATTCATAGTTTCGAGCGCCGCAAAGAGTTATTAGCCGCGGTCCGGAGCCAATGGGTTACCCATCATTTGAACCCTCCCACTGGCATCAACTTGACCGTTGTTTTTTGGTTTTTTTATTAAAAAATATGCATTACAAACATTTTTCAGCCAAAAAAATTAATTTTTTTTGCTGTAAATACGAAAAAAATCGATAAAATTTAGAAAATTCTTTATTCAGATGAAAACTGCAAATACAATACTAGCCAATGGGGGGGGGGGAATGTCTGTGTCTTGATATAGTCTAGACGCGGTTAGTGGAATATAAAACTAGTTGAAAGAGTGGAAAATGCGCTCAATTGATAATTCGTAGGAAATTCTCATTAGAGCGCATTTGCTTAATCGAAAAAAAATACTAGAGAGGGAGAGGAAAGCTCGGAGGAGGTGGCGGAAATGGGGTACATGAGTGTTATGCACATTTTTTTGGCGAAAAATACAAGGAAAATGAACATTTTTGGGCAGATTATATATTTTTATTGATTTTTAAGCTTAAAAAACCGCAAAAACTATAGAGGATGAATCTGTTTGAAGAAGAAAAAGCTGGCCGCTGCTCCCACGGTTCCAGCGACGAACATGAATTGAAGAGCATATCTGGGAAGGGTTTTGACGGCGGTTCGAGGCGGTTTGGCGACCTGCAATTCGGCGGGAATTTGAATAAATTTTCACTTTTTAAATGAGATTTTCAGCGATTCTGAGAATTCGAAAACCTGAAAAAAAGCGAAAAATTCAGATTCCAGATTTTCAAAATTCTAGAATCTGCCCATATTTCCTAATGTCTAGATGTCTTTTTTTTCTGAATTTTCCAAAAAACTCACAATTTTTCGATACTCGTTCATGTATTTCGTTTTCAAGAGGCATGGTGGCATCAATTTTGATAGGTATCTGAAAATTTGAAATTTACAGTTTTTGGGAGAAAATTGAATAGAATTTCAATTTTTCAGCAATTTTCAATATGGAAAATATGGATTTTCGAGTCAATTTCCGCTTCTGAATTTTTCAAAATTTTCTTCAAAAAAGCGCAAATTTCTTCTCAAAAACTCACACAGCATCTTTAATAATCGCATCAATGGGTAATTCGGTAGGCATCTCCGTCAGCAGACGATGCAAAAATGGCATTTCTCGTTCACACGCTAGAATACTCGCACGTCGATAAACGACGACTGCCGAGGAGACGTAAATCGGTAGAAGTGGAGATGAAGCGAGGAAGACGTCGAAGAAACGAACGATCTGGAATTAAAAAAATAGAAGGAGTCGGGGGAGAGATTCTGAAGGATTCTGAAATCTGCATTTTCTGTTTTTTCTTTTGGAACTTTAGGTGTTTTAGAATTTTTGGAATTCTAAAATTCCAAAATGTTAAGATTCTGAACTTCTGATTTTCTAGGATTTTTGGAACGAGCTGGAGATTTACAGAGGATTTCAGAGGATTCCGAGGGATTCGGAAAGATTCAGACAGATTTTTGAGGATTCTAGAAGGCTCTGAAAGCGTCTGAACTTCAAGAACTCCAGAACTTCGCGAAATTCAAATTTCCAAAAAAACATTCTAACCTGCTGATATTGTTTCAATGAATGCGAAAACCATGTCAGTGGCCATGACAATCCAAACATAGTTCCCAATTCGACAGATCTCATCACCTTCTCCAGTGTTGGTTCGACTCGCGACAGTATCACATAGAGAAGATCCAATTCACGGACTACTGATTTTTCCAGCGTTTTCAGGAGATAATTATTGAATGAACCGTTTTTGGCGAGATTTGAGCAGATTGGAAGGGCATCTTTCTCGCCGCAAACTAGGAGAACAGTCAGGCAAATGTCGTGGAAGCCTGGAATTGAGAAATTGGGAATTTAGGATTCTCAAATTTCAGGAAGCCTTAGAAATTTAGGAATCTGAAAATCTCAGAGTTCTAAAATTACAGAACCTTGAAATTCCAAAAATCAAGAAATCTGGTCACTCAGAATTATAGAGTATTAGAATAGTCTAAAACTAGATTTTCAGAATTTCAAAAAACCAGAAATTTATGATTTTTGAATTTCTAGGATTACAAGTTTTCAGAATCTTCAGAATCTGAGAACCTAGAAAAAATAATCGGATTTCAGAATTTTCGATTTTTCGAAAATTTGAGAATTTTTTGTCGAAATTCAGAGTCTTAGAGCTTCAGAATTTTCAAATTTTTTGGGTTGATTTTGCATAAATTTTTTCAAAAATTCAAAAATTCGGATTATTCGTTTTTTCTAGATTTTTTATATCTCAAAATCGAAATATTCAGAATTCTGAAAATTCGAAAATTTCCCCATTTTTTGAATTTTAAAACATTTTTATCTGGATTTTTCAGCTCATTTTTCCTGATGTTTCGCATTTATTTTTTACGAATTTTTTTGTATTTTTCTGTTTTATGTAATATTTCATCAAGTCAATTTTTTAAATATTTTCAGAACGATTTTCCAATTTTTGGGTCGATTTTTATCAATTTTCAGCACATTTTTCCTTTTTTCAGATGAATTTTCATGATTTTTATGTTCAATTTCCAAAGATTCAGGCTTCAAAAATGCCCTTTTTGACCAATTTTCTTCATTTTTTTTCAATTTTTCATTCATATTTATACAATTTTCCTGAATACTTACCCTGATAATAATTGAATCTTGGATTGACACTCAGGACCCGTACAATCAATGGAATGAGTTCAGTTTGTAGTACATCTCGATGCGTATCCGATATATTCGGTGGAAAACGAGATAGTGTTCGATGAACATCCAGTTCCACTTGATTCCATTCTTTATGATTTTTCAATTCTTCAAGTGATAATTCTGGTTGATCCTGGAAAGAACAAATTTTGAACTTTAGGAGCAAAACATAGAATTTTGAGCATTTTAGGTACAAAAATCCAAATTTTTACAAATTTACAAATTTTTTCAATGAAAAATGAGCCAAATTTTCGATTTTTAGGTCATTTTATCGATTATTTTAGAGCTATTTTCAAGTTTGGGTCAATTTTTTAACATGAACAATTAATCCAAAATTATAAGTTTTCGAATAAAAATGGCGAAAATTTGAACTTTATGAGACTTTTGACATATAATTTGAAGGGAAATATGGAAATTTTTATATTTTTTTAACTTCACAAAATCCGAACTTTTATCCATTTTCCCCCTTAAAAACTTGCACAAAAATAAGCTTTTTTCAGGTAATTTTTCATGATTTTTGAGAAAAATTTTTCGGCCAAAAATTCGTAAATTTCGAGTAAATTGTGGATTTTTTGGACTGATTTTTCAGATTTTCAAGTTTTCCAGATGGATTCTTCTGAATTTTCGGTTTTTTTGTTGTTTTAAGAACGATTTTCATGATTTTTAAGCCAGTTTTCGCAGACTTTTCATTGGAATTTCTTGATTTTTAGTTTCATTTTTCCCATTTTTCGGGTCGAATTTCATAAATGTTCTGGATTTTTTGCTGTTTTCAGAGTAATTTTCATAACTTTTACAGTCAAATTTCGCAGATTTTTTAATCAAAATTTCGTGATTTCTTGTGAATTTTTTCAATTTTTTTTCTGGATTGATTTTTATGAATTTTCAACTTTTTTACCTCAAAAATCGGCGTTTCCTCGTCAAAATCCGACTGCGCCGACTCGAAATCCGAATCGTAGGACGATGAGACGTCGTCTAGAAGTTTCAAAATATCAGTTTTTTGAAATTTGTTACTTTTTACTTACCCAAATCATCATTTTGCACCAAATTCGCCGATAAAACCGGCCAAATCGTTGCTCGAAACTCGTCGTCCACGAGGCCGCCGGAGCTGATCGCAAAATCACGAAGTTCGTCTGAAAATTTTGGGCGGGGATTTTGAATTTTTGAAAATCTCTGAAACAATTTTATAAGAGACTCTTTCAGACTACTTTCAGGGTTAAATTTCATTGATTTTCTTAAATTTTCAGTTTTTTCTAACCTATATACAGGCTCAAATCCTCCTCTTTATGCTTTTTCAAAAATCGATCGATCGCTTCTCTCTTGTTCCTCAACGCATTGAATTTCGCCTTTGCCAACGGACCTGGCTGAAAAATGATGCAAAAATTGTATTTTTCAGCTGAAAATTAGCCCTACTTTCACATAATTATCGCCCAAATCACTGCATGAAGCGGTCTGCCATTTCTCTCCGAGCACCTCTTTCAGCGGCGAATTCGGCTCCGAGAACGACGAGTGCATAGGTTATTTAGCTAGGAAGTCTAATTGATGATAAAATGACAAAAAAAATTGAGAAAATCGAGAGAAAACTGATAATAAACGGTCTGAAAATGTCACAAAAACAAGTGTGATTAATTGTCGTCGGGTGTGATGCAAAGTCCGCAAACACGGCGGTACTTGTTGCACAACTTTTCCGAGTGATGTGGCTGTTTTGGAGACCGTACAAATCGGAAAGACTTAAAATCCGGAAGAAACGAAAGCGAAAGAAACGAAACCGTAAGAAACGAAACGGAAAGAAACGAAACGGAAAGAACGCTAAACCGTGCACAGTTTTGCTGAAATGGCGTGCGCAAGCTGCAAATGGGCGGGGTTTTGTCTAAATCTCATACAATTCAGAAATCTCTCGTTCAATTCAGATAAACCCCGCCCTTTTTGCAGCCTGCGCACGCAATTTGTGCACGGTTTAGCGTTCTTTCCGTTTCATTTCTTACGGTTTCGTTTCTTTCGCTTTCGTTTCTTTCGGATTTAAAATTTTTCTGATTTGTACGGTCTCCTGTTTTGAAACCGAAAAAAAGAGTTTTTAGGCCTAAATTGCGAAATTTCTCTTAAAAATTCATCAACATTTTATTGGCATAGGCACCAGAGAGCAGTACAAACAACAAATAAAGAGAGATAGTTATCATAATAATAATATTAGAAAAACCAGGGAGCGAGAAGAAAACCAAAAAAAACCACCTTCTCCATTCAGGCATCATGAAATTGAATCTACCGAAAAAGAAGGCGTCGTTGAGACGACAAGACAGAAACGAGTACATTTAGAAAAACGAAAAAAATAACGGGAGCCACCTTTTTATGGAAAATGTGGCGCCAAGAGAAAAACGGGGAAAACAACTAAAACAATTAGTCCCTCTCGTCCTCCTCCGATAGAGGTGCGGCGGTTTTGCTCGTGCTCAACGCAATTGTAATCTCTTCGTCCACAAATTCATCCTCGTCCAGTTGGGCTTCGGTGTCCACTCCGTCGCGCAGTGCGATGCCTGAAGATATTCGGACAATTTTTAGATGAAAAATCCGAAAAACCCCTAATAAAAGGGCCTGTGAGCCTCTTGAAAAGTAGAAATTTAAAAATTTCAGGAAGCCAAATGCCGCGACTCTAAAAAGGATTTTTAAACAGTCCATTTTTCTTGTTTTCTGTTTTAAGAAAACGAAAAGTATTGTGGTTAAATCGGACAATTAGGTGGAAATTTAAAATTTTTGAGAAAAATTCCGTAAAACTCCTAATAGAAGGGCCCCACTAAGTCATTTTCGAGCCAATTTTCAGCGAAACTAGGGTTAAGTGCCCTTCTGTTAGAGGTTTTACGGCTTTCGTTTAGAAATTCCGAAATTGTGGAAATCTGGCCATGGACCATAGTTTTTTAAACGAATTTTCATACAAATTTAACTGCAACTTACGCAAATGACGGGTGTTCTCCAAACATTCACGATTTCGGTTTCTGATGACGTCGAACGCGGCCATAATCTTGCGACGCTTCTCAACGACCTCCTGCGACGCCCGACACTTCTCATCGTCGTCTTGCTTCACGAATTTGGCGGCGGTCTTCTTCAAATTCTTCCTAATCTCGTTCTGCTTCTGCTCACTCAACTTCACCGGCGGTCTTGGTCTCCACTTGAATTGCGCCAGACGATCCAAGTTTTTCCGGCAGAGTTCTCGTCCTTGGAATGTGAAAATTCGGTATCCCAAGTCGGCTCCAGCTCTTCCTCCCAACGTGGAGCATGTGACAAAGTAGCGTCCAGTTGGATCCCAATATCCCTTATTGAACAATGGATGCTCGATGACATTGGTTCTCTTAGCTTCCGCCAGCGAAGTATCAATGAAATACACATTTCCACCAGCTGACACCTTGGCAAGAACCGCCAACCATCCTCCTTTCGGGGCGAATTGGACCTCATTGAAGTGAACTCCGGCGTCCAATTTGCTCACAAGTTTCGGCGCGTGGCTGTTGGCTTCGATCTTGTAGACCTGGGGTGTGGCTTTGGCGGTGTTTCCGACGAGAACACAGAACTTGTCGCCTTCTGGATCCCAGTCAAAGTGGATGAATGGTTCTGCAAGAGGGAGGTTCATCAGGGAGACGTCCTTCTTGTCAATCTCGAAGATGTCCACATGGTATTGGCAGCCACCCTGGAAAATAAGTCATTTGTTTTGTAGTTTTGGTAGGACTTGTCTTTTTTGTCGTTTTGGGTCAATTTTCGTATAAAAAGGGCCTGAGGCCGTGGCCTAAACCCTCAGAAATAGAGAAACCTTTCCGAATTTATAAAATACGTTGGTCAGAATTATAGTTTTTTTTCATATAGAATCAGCTCTGATAGTGAGCAAATGGCTGAGAAATGATCCAAAAATGAATTTTCAACCACAAAAACGCGCTGTTTCTACAGAAAAATCGCAAAATTTTTCGAGACACCAGGGAAACTCACCACATATTTAACCTCTCCAGTCTCTCTGAACTCCTTCTTCTTATATCTCATCGTGTAGAACGCCAACCGCTTTCCACTCTTCTGCCAGAACATTTGAGCATCGGCGACGTTGTGAACGCGAGCCGAACGCAGCCGTTGCATGGATGGAACTTGAAGAAGTCCGAACTCAGCTGGAACTGCGTCTGTGCACTCAGAATAATAAGCAAGGATTGGAGCAGTTGGTGACCAGTCAAAGTGCTTGATATTCTCAATCGTAACGGCTCGTTTGTCAACAAGTTCGAAGGTTTCCGACTCAAAAATCGAGATTCCATCGATCTTCTTCTCTCTTTCAAGCTTATCCTTCTCTGGAGCCTTGAGACATGCAAAGTACTTCTCGTCGATGGACCATTTGAAGAATGGCCACGTTGGCAGCTGAGTTCTTCCTGTGAGCTCAAAGGTCGAGTAGGCCTTCTTCAATTCTCCAGTTCGGAATCCCAAACTCTCAGGAACTTTCTTCTCAAGTCTCCCCAGCTGTTGTTCTCTTCAGGTCGNCGGCGTAGGTGTCCAGGAAGGTTTCGCATGGCGAGAAATCAATGTATTGAACGTTGTCATGGGCGAATCGGTGGGCACGAGCGTAGTCTTTGCCTCCCCAGAGGATTATTCCTCGCTTGTGGATCGTGGAGAGATAGGAACCATGTGGTGACCAGGTGAAGACGGTTTCAGTCCAGTTCTGAAATGAAGTTATTTAGAATCGCTTGAAATCTTCAAGTTAGAACTTACAGCTCTCTCGGCCTTCTCCGGATCTCCAGCAAGCTCTGGATCGTTTCCCTTCATATTCGTGAACACGCCAACAGTTGGTATTCCCAATTTATCATGAGAAATTGCGAACTGATCACGGCAACGCTCATTCTGAAGCCACCACCACAAATCTCCAACATCCGAGTATTCTGACTTCACTGGAGTCGTCCAGGCATCAGATGGAGCTTCCAACTTCTTCATATCCGTGAAAAAGCGGGCTGAGAAGGTGTGGTTCTTGTCGAAAGAGTAGCCATCAAGACTTTTCACAGCGAACGCGGCGGACCGGCTGTCGGGCCACTCGGTGAGAAGGACTCCCTGCAAATAAAAATTGCGGTCCGAAATTCATATTGGACGCTTACCAAAGATCCTCCTTCTGGGCTTGGTGGGATGAAAATCTTGACTCCTGGCTCCAATTTCTCTAGAACCTTCTTCAACACACTTTGGAGTCTAGCGATACGTTCGGCACCAACAACTGGGATACCGGCGATGAAGACATGTTGCCTTCAAACTCATCGATGGTTGGCTTTTTGTAAAGAACATCGGGGACGAGAACTAAAATTTTATTTTTGAAAATTTTCATAATTTCTCGAAAAAAAACCTACCATCATCGGTTACATCGTCAACGAAATCCGCTGGATCGGAGTAATCCTCCTCGTTCTCCTTATTAAAATCTATTTCAACCATAACTTGGTGTCGACTTATGTGTCGTTTATCTGTATTTAACCCAACTAGTCTGAAAACTTGAAAAATCGGAGTTTCGTGTGGTTTGAAGCTTGGAAATAGGTTAATCTACGTTACAAAGTGTTTATTTCAGGTTGTGAGCGAAGAAAAAAACAATAAAAATCTTGAAAAGAGCGAGAAAATCAGAAAATTAGGACGCAAATATTTGGAATAAACGGCAGCTAAACAACGCGCGGCGGGATGCGCGGAGTGTCGTTGCAACAGAAAAGTTAGGCCACGGCCAGGCAACTTTGCGCGGTTATTCAAATCTGAAAGAAAGAAAAGAAATTTTCAGCATTTTAGGGCTTGAACCGAATTTTTAATCGAAAAAATTGACATGAAAAAAGCAAATCTTTATTGTATGAACCCGGAAGAGAAATAAAAAAAGAGTAAAATTCGAGACTATAAACGATTATTATTGTTATTATGGTTACTTTTCGAAAAAGTCCGGAACATCATGACTGATTTCTTTTTCTGACTTCCAGAATTGTTCATCATCACTCCACCGCCGAATCCAGCACGGAACTTCTCGTTTCCACGCTTTGGAACCAACGATTTTTGGCGCTTAAAGGAAACTTTTGAAAAATTATGTCAAATGCGCTCCAATGATAAAACCAACCCTTTGTCCCATTTTCTGGCTTATACAATTTGCTACATACATCGCCGCAGCGACAATAGAGAGCATAATTCCACCAAAAGCCAGAGCCCATCGAGGAATTGCAGCGTGCGCCTGGAAAAGTTTGAAATTTAGTTGAAAAAGCTAGGCCACAATCTAGAAAACTCCTACCGGTGATAAATCTACATGGATTAGACGACTTGCATGGGACATTGCATTCTCAAGAGAAATCAGAGCAGTTTCTCTTGCCGCCGTCACCAAAGGAATCGAAAATCGACGGAGATGAGGCCATTGGTCACTGGAAATTTGAATTTTAGCTAGAAGAAAATGCACTCTATTGGACTAATTCTTTGAGAGAGCTTTTTAAAATTTCAATGAAGCAAACTTGCATACCCGAATAGAGGAATCAGAAGCGGCGTTCGAAGACGTTCGGTTTGCCAACTTTGAATGTAGACGAAGATCACATCGGCGTCACAGTGTTCTGAACAGATTGAAATTTAGAAAATTCTGAAAATCGAAGATTTTCAGAAAAATTTTTTTTAGGAATCAATTGCTTGAAATTTTTTGCTTGATTATCGGTTTTATGGGTTACGAATTCTGATTACCAGAACAATTCCCCAGTTTTTTTTGCAAAAATCTAAAAAAAAGCCTTAAAGGTGGTGTACGGTGAAATTTTTTATTGCATCAATATGTGCAGAAATGCATGTAGATTGACTTAAAAATAAAGAAAAAATTCAAAAAAAATTCCTTCATCGAGAAAAACGCATCGAAAAATACGCTGAAAGCCCTTAGGGACGATGTTTTTTCTAGGCCACCAGGCGAGTAAAAGCGCGCGAATTCAAACTTTTAAAATTTTTTCGCTCGTTTTCACTGTTTTTTTT